CTCTCTCTCTCTCTCTCTCCTCTCCCTCCATACTCATTTCCTCTCTGCGCCTCTTCAGTCGATGAAATTAGAAGTATCGATCTATCGCAGAGAAACGCGTACATTATGGCAACTGTAGAGAGAGCCTGAGCACACAAATTATGCCAAGGTGCATCTATTAATTAACTTAATACCAGCCACTTAACATACAAAAGCGTCCTCTGATCGAGTTTCGTTTACAGACCTGCCTACTCGCTGGTGTTTCTCTTGCAACAAAATTTACAACACCCGTTTGCCGATTTCTTTGTACTTCTGGATTCCTTTCTTCATCACTCTGCATCATACGCACATGTGACTTGTCTATATTATACTGTTAATCAAGAGCTGCAAGTTGTATGACTCATTAATTCTCAATCTCTCGCACCTGTTGCCCTCTTTACTTAAAAAATAAATTATATTATATTCAGGTCATGATTTAAAGAATCAAAACGGATTTGAAATTTATTTAATTAAAATTTGCTCATCTATGGCCAAGGATTATATAGCTTTTTAATTAAAGTTGTTAATTATTCAACGAAGAACAAGCTACTCACAAGAGGAGACAAGCGTTTTACAAGAGAACAATTTACACAAGGAAGGAGACAAGGAGGAGATGGAAGAACTTCTCCATCAGCAACGACAAGTAACGTCGAACAAACAAGTTTGATAAACACTATTATTCTGTGCATTTGATATCCTGTAACCTAGCACGAAATCACTATTTAACCACAAGTATTTATGTATTTTTCAAAATATTCAAAAATATATAAATGTGTATACGCACGACGCAATTACATTATGATAATTAAAACTGGAAATATTACCATCGATCAAATAAATTTCCTTCCTTCCTTCTATCTGAGATTTCTTCTACTGAGCAAAATTTCAACAGATGTATATGACATAAATATGTATTATTCAGCATTTATCACGCCACTAATAATGAGTTAAATAGTCTGTTTTCAAATAATTCTACTTATGCAGATATTCCAAGTACGGTACTCTGTTTAATGAATGAAATAAATCTTTGCTTGGGTTTTAGTGTTCCAGTTACATTCCTAAAAAGTAGGAACATTGCGCGTAAACATTCACAGTCTAGTAATTCAAATGTTGTTAGAAAAGTAAGAAGAATAAATATGGCCATCAAGTAAGCGAGGATGGAATCCAGTTTACCTAATAGATATTAGATCTTTCGTGTCCGTCACACTTGCGTTGATTAGTAGCTAATTACATTACTAATTACATTAGCTGTCTGATATAACGCGATGGCACAGCTGTCGCTATCAGTGCACGTGTTCATAGCGTCTAATTAAATCGCATATTTCGTTTCACGAAATTTTCTCTGGTTGACTTCTGACAATTTCCGCATACATTATCGTTGCGGATATAACACGACACTGTACAAAACTGCCACTATTTTTTCTTTCCATTGTGTTATATTGCATTATACTTATTCGCATGTTTTGTTGAAAGTGATTAAAAATCGTCAGTTACTTCACGCACGTACGTGACGTAACATCATTCTTCCTTGCAAACTTCCCTTTCCACAGACAAATTATTTTCAACAGCGCCATTAGTTTGATTAAGCTTCGTGTAATCTCAGGGGAAGTCAAGGTGTGTCGTTTGACATTAAGTCGTTTCCATTGTATTACATGATAGTGTAGTTGGAGAATCCAAGAATTCTTTTACCATATGGTGTGCTTATATATAAACATGCATGTGATTAAGTAGATATGTATTCTGGTAATGAGATTGGTAATCAGATAATATTTCTGAAAAAGACAAAAGGAAAGAAATAAATTATACATATCTAGAAACTCGATTGTAATTGTGTAAAAGGATAAAAAGAAACGAGGGAAATAAATTTACGTGCCTACAGAGTTGTTTAAAAAATGGTCGAAAATCATAGAACAACAAATTTTATTACACTGTGTATTTTCAATAAAAAGTGTTGTTTATCTGTAC